TTGCTTCAGAAATGAAGTTCTATTCATTCCTCTTCCTGGTTTTCCTTCGACTTTTCCCTCTATTATTGTGGATATCCAAGAACTATTCTTTATTACTCGTCCGATCCATATTTTTTTTCAATCTTAGCATATTCTATATTGATTTTTGTGTATTAATTCTTCTGAAAACCTCAACATTTTTTATCTTCTCTGTCCATAAAAACTTTAGTTCTTCTACAACACCATTCTCCAAAAGCTTCTAATTTAGCTTTTTCAGCCTTTAGTATTGTCTAAGTCTCTGCTTCATATAGAGCTAAGTTACACAGAAAGCTTTCTATAAGTGATTTATTGATAACCAAAGTTATTCTGTTTAAAGTAAAAAGATATGAGCCTATTAGATATTCATAAGATTTCAAGCTAGTTTTAAAAACGACCCTATTAAAATTATTCTAGTCATTAAAACTTACATTACACTTTTATTTCAGTTTTCAAGCAATAAAAAACTTCTCCGTTCATACATAAAGATTGAAATTCAACTATTTATTGTTAACTTATTACTATATACTTATCATTTATGTAGTTTATACAGACAAGAATGATTTAACAATTACTTATTGAAAAAACAACTATTATTTTAACCTTTATACTATCGGAATTTGAAACAGCTATAAAATACCAATATTATGAAATTTTATGAAATATTTCAACGTTAGTTTATATGTTTCAAAATAAAATGTTATTTTTTTTAATATTTCGCATGACATATTTCAGAGTAGAATCACTACATAAAATATTAGAATTTTGCTATTAAAAATAACCCTAGTGAAATCAAAGATGCACATTTATCTTGCCCCTGAGCCATCCTGGCTTCTTATCGGCTGGAAATATTTATAATGTATATATTATCATGCAAGTTTTCGAAAAAATATATTTAGAACATAATATTTTATGAATAACTTTAGATGAATAAAAAAAAGTTCGAAAATGATACTCAAGGTCAAATATGACAATATTTTATTTTCTATAAGGTTAAAAGTATCAATTTTTAATTTATGAATTAGTTATAAACATTATAATACAGCTATAACTTAAGTTGTGTATCAAATAGTAACAAAATTGTGTATAGTATATAATACGCTTTATTACAAGTTTAGAAGAGGATTGGGTTGTAAAATGTGTATATATAATATTACCACACACTTTGTTAGTCATTACACGAAAATTTATATATGACCTTATATAACACCTCTATAATTTTCATTCTACGTAGATCTTCTTATATATATATATATATATTAATACACAAATGGCTATGAATTGAATATTTAGATACTTTTACATTTAGAAATATGACTAGTATAGTCGAGCTCTCGTCAAACTAAGTCAAAACAAAAGGTTTTGCAGCGCGGTTTTCATGAAAACTTGAATGATGAAAAGCGTACCCTACAAAAAAATTAAAAACCACTTTAATATACTGACTAAACGCATATGTAAAATAACATTTTAGACAAGAGCAATAAGGGTCCTTAAGTTGTGCTCTTGATGTTGATACTGTATGGTTGAAATTTGTATTAACGGAGTATTTCTAGAATAGCTCTCGACAACGCCTAAAATCATAGTTTATTCAACTAAAAGAGACATAGAAATATATTAATAAAATATCGTTTGCTTTATTAAAATTTCAAGATAAAAATTACTACTGGAAAAACTAGTTGATTAATACTAGTAATACTTTCATTTTATTTAGTTTCGATGCTAAACTAGAAAGGTATTAATTTACTATGATGTATTTATTTTATACTTTTTTTTTTGTGTCTGCCACCACTTTTTCTCAGGTCACACAAAGCCGATTTTTTTTTCAACGGTACGTTAGCTTTTGAAAATGTTTCGAAAATCTCCAAACTTCAAGCATATGTTAAATTTAAGTTTATGTTACATACTTAAATTTGAAGAAAAAAATTGTACTGACAACTTGTCTTCTATATTTGAACAGCCCCTAAATTTAAACGAAATATAGTTTATTTCATGTAAAAATCACCTTTTTTCACGTTGTAATAGTTTTCTACTCTTTTTTTTTTCTTTTATTTATGCCTATACTTAAGGTTACACAGTATAAGGGGGAAATAAGTATCTCTGCTTAACCCACTCTTTCACCCCCAAAAAAAATAATAAATAAGGTTTAAGTGATACTTATAAATATTTTTAGGGAAAAATTTTGCAACTTTCACTTTCAATCCAATAAATATATTAAAAAGAAAGGGGCTACCCTTTCTAAAAAAAATGTTCTAGCTGTTAATACTTAATGATAATTTAAAATTTTAATTTCATAACTGAAATGACGTTTAACTAAATAATAACATCATAATTAAATTAAAAAAGATAACTTTCTTTTTTTTTTGTTTTTTATTCCTTTTGATTTGTAATCAAAAATTGTAATCCATATTTATAATTTTTATACTCGTTTGCTATAGAGAAGTAACAAAGTATGCAGCTACTTTATAACTCTATATATTTTCTCCGTAAAAGTTACAATACTAAATTATTGAATATAAATTTCGTACTAAATTTAATTGCTATAATAATTGTTTATTCGTGTATTACACTTATATATCATGAAACTTGTAATCATTATATAATTAAGATAATGAGAGTTCATTTGTTTTTGGGGTAATCCAATAATTTCTTCTAAAAATTAAATACTCTCAACATCGAAGCATTTTTTATGATAGTAATTTTAATCGCTATCAGATATCACCTTTACATGTCCAACTATACCGTGTCCCCATATCCCAAGACCGTACTGTGATAAGCTTTTAACTTAAAATATGTGTTTCTCATCAAACTAATTAAGCAGTTATTTTTAACTTTTTAATCTTAATAAACTTAACGATTAAAACAATTCAACATCTATGGTATTAAATTTATTTATAAAAGAAGTTTTAGTTTCTAAGATTAATTTATTTGTAAGTTTATTATTATATTATGTTATGCGTTTTCGTTCCTTGACAAAACGTTGTTATTCAGATCATGTTTGGTGAATGCTGACGAGTTTCATTAAAAGGTTTATTTAAATTTGATATGGAATAGTTGAAGGGTTCTGGTAAAAAGATGATGGTAGAAATATGATATTCATGGTTTTCATCCATGTATATTCGGTTCATCCATTAGGAGAAATTAATTTTGTTTGAATAAGGGTACCTATTAGTGTTATTATGGTGGTTGTTATTAATGAAAAAAATCTACTTCCTAAATACTACCAAACAGCGAAATGCATTATTATAATTGTGCTGCGCAAAAACGGTAAAGGAAAAAGTAATTTATAAATATAATAAGATGAACCGAACAAGTTTTAAACGATTAGCTAGTAGATATTTTTAGTAAAAGGCTTGATTCATGTAAAACACCTTGTTAGGTTGGGAATTATAACGTAAAGGGTAAGGTGATTTTTTTAATAACCATTTGGTTATTATGCGCAAGGATAGGTGAGGAACTTGGTTCGGCTATTTCCGTACCAAAAAAAGTAAACGGAGACAAAGATAACGGTTTGGGTGTTGTTAAAACGGAAACGTAGAAAAAAATCTATTCTCCGTCAGGATCGTGTTTTGCATGTAATCAACTAGTCACGTTTACGGACAAACTCAAAACTATACAACGCATGCAAATACTTTGATTATAAAACTACTTGGAATTCGTGTAATTAAAAGTTGATAAGACTACATTTTTGTACAGCCTAAATGTTTAGGTGTTTCATAACTACTCAATTTTACCAATGGACAAATGTATTCGAGTATCTTGACATAACATATTTCACTGTCTCTTGTCAACAAACTCTACTAAATTTCCCCACGATCGATGCCCGTCATTTACAGTTATATTTTTTTGCTTTTGGAATATTATAAAAAACAATTACCGCATTACTGCAGTCGGCCGTCAACCACAGCAAGAGCCAGCGAACGCAATTAATAAACTTAGAGTTGTGTTAGGTGTATAAAAAATTGAGTCAAGCACTTAGATCAATTTCCCCAAGACGAAGAGAGTATCCGCATCAGTTCCACAGTTGCTGTACATGAGAGGTGGACTTATGGGGTAAAAAAAGTTCATTTTTCATTTACTAACAATCAGATTAATAACGGAAATTAAAATATACTGCAAATCGTTCAAAGTAATAAGGGGATAGATTTGTTTTGTTGTGATAAGTTGTCTAATTTAATGCGTTCGATTATTTTCAAGGAAACTTCTTATATTGAATTAAGATTCTACAAAAAAAGTAGTAATTTAATAATTCAACAAAAGAGCAAGATAAACGATCCAATTTATAGTAGTATGTATTACTCATGCAGCTTATAAATATTCAATCTGCACTTAACTTTATGATCAGAAAAAATAAATTTATAAAACGTGAACTATAAATCTCAAACCGTATCATAGTTGTTCATGTAAAGTAGGAAAAATAAATAAGTTTTTCTATGGAATAATGCGATGAATAGTATATAACATAAAATTAATGCAAATTCTAACATTTGAAATCAAAGTTTCAAAACTACTGGTAATCCCCAAATGAAAACCAAATTAAATTTAAATCAGTATACTAAAGTATAGTAAAAACGTATAGTGTATTGTTAATATTTCTAACTGTAAGAAAATAGTAAATATTATCACACTCATAGAACATAAAATAATATTTATAATAATAAATTTAAAAAGGTCATGTATTGACCTTTCTATTAAACTAAGTATTTTTACAAAGTTTTAATGTTAAGTTATGATATTAAATAAATATTAATCCACTGCTTAATTTATAAGCTTCTAATTTAAATAAAATACGTTTAGTTTTAATATTTTACTCGATATTTTGCAATGTATTTTCCAAAGAAAAGTAAAACATTACGAAATAACGCATCAATACATTAGTAAAGGTACCAGTATAATGTGTAATTTTTTTTTTTGTATTTATCCGCCAGATATAATCTATAATAAAAATACGCTCATTAAAATGTATAGTAATTGAAAAACATACATACTGAGATATTGAATTCTGCAAAAATGGAAATACCAATAGTATTATTTAATCAAATAAAACAACCATAGGTACCTAAAACAAACAAAAAACCATATGTATTATTAGTTTTTAGTAAATAAGCACTTGCATGTTTATTCCTCACAAAAAAATGATGCTTTATCGATATGTTTAATATCCACTGTCATGGGCTTTCAATAAAAACGATTTAACTTAATAAGATAATTGATTGGAAAATGAAACTTTTTATTTTTTTTATCGTTATTAATAAGTGTATTAGTAAAACCAATACCTTTTCAGCTGCGTATCAAAGCTAATGAAACGGATTTGTTTATCAATTAAAATTGAAATATATTTGCATGATTTCGATATACTGTAAGAATTTAAAAATAATCTATTTCGCGTGACTTTTAGAGTAACACCTCAAGGACGTAATACAGTAATTTTTATTAATTTAATTAATATTTTCGTATTACTTTCTAGGGACAAAAGCGTTGAATGAATCCAACAATTTAATACCTTTTTGAAATTTTACAAAAAATTAAAAAGAAACTGTATGGTCGCCGTATTGCTTAGATTTCAGCTATGAACAGAAATAAGTAAAAGAATTTTAGAAAAACAAAGATATATTCTAGAACTGTCATGTTTATCGCAAAAATATAAATTTTTTTTTAATTCTTTTTAACCAAGGATATAATATTTTCAAATAAAAATTTCCAAATTAAATTCCAAGAAAACCCATAACTACATACATATTTATTTTTAAAAGGGTCCCGTCTAATTTAACTAAATATTGAAATCGGACTCTGATATACTTGAAAATTTACCCAAGACGACATTTGGTAGTCGCGTGGGATTTACGACGCCCTCATCAATCTAAATTACGGTGACCGATCAACGACCTTTAAGTCACTGGAAACGATGTCGTCTGTGCACAAACAGACGACGTCCAAAGTGACATAGGATACTATTCAAGTGAACGTGCCATCACAAAGGCCTCGTTGTACGCGTTTCTTGTTATTGCGGCGGAATCTCTTTGGGCCGGAGCTCAGCACTGCGGTCGGCCGCCACCGCCTCAATAAAAGCACCACACCGACCCAGCGGCGGCAAACCGAATCGACAGGAGACCGCAAACAGCGTGCAGACAACCGAATGTCGGTGACCGTTGGCTACGCGTAGTGTGACAGATTGTATTTAAATTATGCAAACGTAACGTTGGGGTGTATTCCATTCCAGTGTTTTGTGTGTATATATATTTCAATACGCTATTATTTGGCCGGTCTATGAAGCCACGCCCACGTAGAATCGTTGCATTTAATTGTGCCGTGGCGTGTTTCTACCCGAAATAAATCTTCGTGCCGAGTTGACGTGTGGAAATAATTATTCCGGCACAACAAAAAAAACACCGAAAATTCGAAAATTACTTTCGGGCTAATTCGGAGAGTTATGTAAAAACTTTTTTATTTTTTCAATCACTAATCCAAGAAAATGTTCATAGGTTCCAAGCTCGTTCCGGCACGTTTCTCGCGATATTACAAACGATTATGGCGCGTGAATAATACCAATTCTATTAATATAATATTAGACCCGACGGTGTAAACACAATGGCGCACAACGTGAAAAGGGGTAAATGTCGCACAGACGCTGCGAGGGATTATTCCGCGTACATTCCATGGAAATAATTAAAAATAGCGTCTTTTTTTTACACTTTAAACGTTACCTTTGTGAGTTTTAGTTGCGCATCGAGATATGAAAAAAAAATCCTTAGGTACGCCTTACAGTGAATACCGACCGTACAAACCATTCGGATCAAACCGTTAATTAATCAATCTTTTAATAGCTATAACTAGTCGAAATAACTGCATTGGCTACAGACCGTTCATTCGTTTCGCGTACCGTTTCAAGCGAAACCGTAGAGTCTGAGATTTTCTTTAGACTTTTGAAACTATGCCTTTTGTCGGGAAAACTAATTTCATAAAATATATTATGTGAGCATGGAAATACTTGGGGCCACAAAACTTTCACTCGGCCGCATACCTCGCTATCATTATTGAATGGGTAGGTGTATACATATAACATTATACTTGTTTGAATGAGCTATAGTAAAACTCTTCCTGTGTATAGGACGTATACCTACGTCGGTTTCGGAGTATTATTATTACTTCTCCCTTGCGCCGGTTCAAAATCGTTGTAATGAACTTTTACCTTAATCGTTTTCAACTATGGAACAATCATTTTTTTAACGCTTTTCTTAACGACGAAACTTTTTGTGATATATGAATTTTACGTCGCTCACACACACACGCACTCTATTACATTGTGTATAATCCTCTGACGCGTATACGTTTATGCACTTAAGCTATAATAAGTCATAAACAATAGTTGAGTTGGCTGATAAATTATTAACATCGCAAAATGGTTATTTTCATTCGGATATTAATTATGCATACTGGTAAACGTTGGACGCGTATATGACACCATATTACTCGAGAAAAACTATCCAATGATATTTTTAGTAAGTTTCAGAACTCATTTTGTTACCAATAGATATCTTATTTTATTTAAACAGCAAGGTACCTCAAAGCCAAATAAATATGCGCCATAGTCTCCATTCTAAAAACACTTATATAGAAATGTTGATAATTTTATTTCTAGAAATTATAAATATAACATTTTAAGACATATTTAAACTTTTTGTTAATAAAATAAAATCTCAAATTTTTCTTGGAATAATTAATTATTGAAAAATCGACTTCTATTGTTAATACTGAAATGATGTACTTTATGTTTCTTCTTTTATATAAAAAAATTGAGTCGGGTGATTTTCACACTCCAAGAGACCATCTCATATCGTAATTTAAGCAACATTTTACTAAACAATTAAATGAAAAAATTCTTTTGATAAAAGTTTATTTCATTAAAAATGTTAATAATATTAACGAGACAGGTTCTTTTATGACGGTTTTTATTATTCTTAAACTATTAAAAAGTAACAATTATATCGACTAAGCGTTTTTACAATGAAAATTTCTAATTAATTTTAAATGTTACGATGCCTTTAAGTTAATTATTAATAACGAGGTTCTTTGTAATAGCGTTTTGATAAAAAAATTATAATACCACCTAGTGAAACGAAAAGTTACTTCTGGAGTCACTGTTCTACATTGAAGTATAACTAAATCACGTTTGTTTAACGACCAGTCATGTAAACATTATAAATGTGAATCACTACAAGCCATTTCTGGTGTTTAAGCAATTTTACTGGTGCGTAGTTGCGTGTTGTTTTCACATCAGCAGTTTAACTATTGATTAATCATGGTCCAGTGATAACGGCGATGGTTGTGGTTAGTCTTGTACATATCAAATTTTCGATTTCAACTTAACGTGATTCTGTTTCATGATAAAGTTGCCGAATTAACGTTTCGGTATTCATGACAATGTCATTCCTTCGTTTGAGTCATTCATACCAAATTCGTACATCTGACCTGACATTTTTCTCAATGTAGTTTTAACAAGCGCTCGTATCGGTTTTGGTCGCTAAACAAAATAAAAATATCATAAAACCCACCGAAATGCAGATCTAATCTTTGGCAAATCTCTTTTGTTTTGTTCCGGCGAGAATGGCCAGCAATGTTCACTGCGTTCTAGTACCGAAGTCAGCAGCGATTGTTTTGACTGAGAAACGAGTTAATGCACCTTTAGCAATAAGGATTTAAGTAACGACTACAAAGCAGGTTAAGGGAAGTTATTGAAGGAAGACTGCAAAACGCTATCAGAACTTTAGCACGTTATGTGGATTAAGAGATTAAACGCTCTATTCGTGTTCCGAGTGTTTATTGGTAGACAATTAGCTTCTTTTGTGTGTTGAGATTCCTGTTCATGTCCTAGTTACCATCCCAACTCCGGTCGTTTATATATTATCCCTATCACCATGTTTGTTTCTACTACTTACTATCGTAAAATCTTATGACCGCCGCTTATGAGCACGACCATAAAATGTACACACGCATTAAATTTTTATGTGTCTTCCCATTGAAATTCCTACTTTGCATCATCGCGGCCGCAATTTTCACTTGATAATAAACTTTGAGTTGTGTTTCATGAATCAGTACTTCATAAACTAATATAATGCTCGAGATCAGATTGATCGGCAGCGGTTTAAAAAACGTATTTGAAAACATTTCGTTGTTGAATTCGATTGCAAGGCGCAAAATTCACAATATATTGTTTCCAGAAGAAAAATAATTGGAAATTTCATTACTGCAGTTTACGTGTTTATTTTGAATTACTTAAAAAAAATTACATTAAAATATGCAATGCACGTGTTACATTCAGTCGTTTCACGTACTAAATCATCATAGTTGACCATTTTTAAATTTAAACAAACCCAAATGAAATGCGTATACTTTAATTAAAATTTATACGCATATTTTTTTTCAAATACGTTTACCAATTAAAAGAAAGTTTCAGTTCCTTTTTATTAGTCAATGGAGCGTAACGAGAATATTTTTTTTAAGAAACGCCGAAAAGAATGTTTATTGAAGTTCAAAGATTGGAATTAGCATTTAAGAAAGATCAAATAAAAAATTTAATGCTTAACTTGAATACTGTGAACTTAAAGATTTTTAAATTTTACGACTTGTTGTATATTTATTTTCAAATGAAGTATAAATTACCAAAAATTTAAATTACTGAAAAGAGAATTGTTTGTTAAAACTGAATAATAAAATATGCATAATACAATGAGGGAATTGGAACAAAAGCAACCACTACAATCTATTTTTAAGACAATATTTCCAGGCAGACAGAGACAAAACTAAATAACGATGATATTCCTTGTTTTTGTTTTGGTAGACGAGATAAATAACCTCGGTTGGATTTTTGTCGGAAAACTTTTTTAACTGAATGTGCCACCAAATTCTGGTAATCATTCAGCACAGCGTTAAAACTCAGTTTAAAAACAATGAAACTTCAAAATATAGAAGAAAAAAGTAAAACATTAATTTTTGTCGAAATCGCTGTTAACAAACATCATTGTTCCGACGACTTATAAACTGTTGACTGTCTAAAAATAC